ATAATAATAATAATAATAATAATAATAATAATAATAATAATAATAATAATAATAATAGTGATAAAAAATAATAATAATGGTAGCCCTCTATGTGCCTCACATTATTATCATAACATTGCAGCAGTTACATCAGCGGATTTTGGCAGTTACCGTACCAGGTACCCACTTAAACTCCTGGGTTGAGAGAAGCAGTGCAGATAAAGTGAAATGCACATCGAGGGATTCTATAAATAAATTGTGTAATAAAATGCCTCCGACGGGATTCGAACCTGCGATATCTCGCTGTCAACGCGAGTGTCACAACCATTATACCACAGAGGCTTCATGGTTGAACAGAGTCAATAATGTCAGATCCACTCTATTACACAACATGTACGGCTGGAAACAAATAATAGCATATAATATAAATCAAGATAGCCGTTAACACCGTTAAATTATATATAAATCATCAAAGAAAGGTAAATACAGTGTTCAAATAAAGGACCTAAATACATCGTGTAGTATAGCTCTCAACGAATGTTGTCCTAGAAATAAATAAGTTGTGTAATAAAATATTTAATATGTTGCTTGTTAATGGGTTTCAAGAAAGGGTCGATGCTATGAGCTTTTAGTTTATGCTTTCCGGATAAACCTCTCACTGGTAGACCTGTTGAGCCTCTACTGTGATCGGATGTTTTTTGTTGGTTCTGCTGTTTTTGTCCCATTTTACAATTTTGTCCACAGTTCAATTAGGGTAATCACAGCCACTGAAAGCTTGTTTTATGTTTTTCATTTCCAATTAATGTTCATGACATCTGTCAACCAGGGAACGTACTAAACTAAGTTTCTGCTGAAGAGGGTAGTTAGATATATAGTGTAGATACTGGTTGGTGTGAGTAGGCATTTTGTAGATCGTCGTTAAGATTTTGCCATCATCTTGGTGATTGGTGTCCAAAATAAGCATTGGAGTTGTGCTGGGAGAGTTGTTCACATGTGAATTTAACATTCCCGGTAGGGTCGATGTTATTTAGGTGAGCATTGAGCTGGTCAGATACGCCTAGATGAATTGCTGCAAGGATGTCATCAACGTAACGTTTACAAATACGTGGTATAAAGATGGGTTCTGGAGTTCCAATGGGTTCTTCTTCAAGCCATTCCATAAATAATTTAGCAACTGGTGAGCATCAATGATTTCATTACCATTAAGTTGTGCACTAAATAAGTTATCATCATGATTATAAATGCTAGTAGACACAAACATACCAATCTCCCCTCCCCTTTACATTTTCTGTTTTTACC